AACATTGGTTCTTCCTTGGATTTTTCTAAGATACTATCCTCATCAACATTTCATTGTTTCATCATCCATACCATAACCACCACAATCATCTTCCGCTACCATCTGAAATATCATAAATTAGCCTACCATTTTCATCCATTCATCTACTACCAAACCATCTATTTGAGCCATTTACTTATGTAGGTTGTTTTGCTTCCTTCCTAGATCCACAATCAATCGATAAGGTCACCCCTATCGCATCATATGGTATCAGAGCTTTGGTGGAAGAAGTAATGTGCAACAACATCAACAACAAAAAAACACAAAAAGAAGTGCAAGTGCAAGAAATACGAAAATCATAAAAGAAAAGTTGAAAAGCATTCATCAACAACTCTTATCACTAAGCCATTCAAGTAAGCATTAAAATTGATTGTGGTGATAGGAGGTTGTGTAGTGACTTTGTGTATGTAACCCCTTTATTATTTTCTTTCTATTTATAATCCACCCTTTTCATTTTATTTTGTTTTCCATTCTTACTAACCTTTTCTGCAGCCGACGCACAACAAGTAAAATTTTCTTCACACAGTTTTGAGTAAGGTCATTTAGAACTTGGGATAAAGAGAACGGGTGCATGAGTGTTGAGTAATATTTTTATTTTCTTTAGAGTGTATTGGTGAGATTTTTTTTATATTTGTGGGGTTTATTTTCATCTTTATTAATTTTTTCTTTTCATTATGTCTCTAAAGTATACCAGATCAAATGATTATACAGGAGACAACGTACGAGATTTTTCGTCAAATTCTTAATTTTAAGGATTCAGTCAAGAAATAAAGAGTTTGCTCAAAAGGTATCTCAACCCAATCTCAAAGAAGTTAGATTGTATAATCGAAAAAGGTTATTATTCACAAACACCTCCACCGAAGATAAAAATCCAAGTAAATGGGAGAGAAGACACTCTACTCGTTTATAATTCTACATCCTAGTGGAGTGAAAGAACTTGCAAAGAGGATCCAAATTTTTGAATAAGAAGCAATGTCAATAGTTCAACGCAGAGTGTGACAAGAAGATTTGCATCTTTCAGTCTAGATCATCTTCAAGAGTGTGTTGACAATTTCGTCAGAAACACAATTCCAAGAACAACTAGACAAAGGAAATATCTGCAACAAAGAAAGAGAAATAAGAGTTAAAAAAGACATTGAGAACGAAGAAAAGGAAATTGTTTGTGCAAAAGAGAGAGATAGTCAAATTTCAGTTAACACTAACAACCTTAACCACTCTTCTATTCTTGAATTTTCATTGTTGAAGGATGACGAGAGGAGTACTTCAAGAGCTATCATTTGGAAATCAGCGTCAAGCATAGAGGATGATTCAAAAGACACAGCTTGTCAAAGGGAGGAACCAAGAGACATGATCCATGGAAGCTTAAGAGAATTATTTTTTCAAATTCCAAAAGCCATAACTTTTCATGATTCAATGGACATGACTTTTGAAGAACCAAACAACATGTCTGTTGAGGTACCAGTAGATATGGTAATTCAAGATAATATGTCTTCAAAAGACTTGATTCTCGACCATCCAGCAAACATAGACTAGTAATACCTCTTTCACTTATTTCTAATTAATCATTCTCTTACTTATGAAATTTTTTTCCTTTTGAGGTCATGGACATTCAAAGAACTTATTCAAAGGATATGACTTTTGATAAGAATTATTTCATAAGGATGACTTATGGAGGCAAACCAGCAATGATTGACTGGGCCTAGAATTTGGAGAAATCACCATTCGATTTGAGGAAAAATCGCCCAAGATAAGGGGAGGATGATGTGATCCTGTCTAGCTCCAACTTTCTCCATGACTTTATCACACCATAGACGTTTTTCACTACTATTTTTATGGGAGTTCTTCCTTACCATATATTATATTATATCATTTATATATTTACTTTCTCATAATCATGCATTCATATGTTAGTATAAATTATTATGTTAGTTTTTCCATCCTATGCTTAGTTGATCATGTTTTTCATATCATTCAAATCTATGCTATGAATACATATCATTTCTTAGGATATTATTATTACATGTTTCCATTATAATTTATTATGAACACCATGTTAAATGATATTCGTTGCAAATTGTAAGCATGTTAGGATACTTTGCATTCATATTCAGCATGATTCATATCATTTACATATCATGGAAGCATGTATTCATTCATTCATGTCACATCTTTAATTAGCTTGTTTCAGGCATATGTTACACATTCCTTCTGTTATCATTACATTATTATATTAGCCATGGAATCATGTGTTAGATTAGAATGGAACTTGTTATTTATTCTTGAATTTGAGCATTGTAACTGATATATATTTTATATTAATGTGCAAGGTACATTCTAGGCAGTCCACACGACAGTTCACGTCACTCATATTGATCGTCGGTTTTGAACGTGTTACAAGCATATTTGGATGATTAAGTCTTCTTAACATTTAATCATCTATCTCTTAGCTTTCAAACTCACTTTTAATCGTAGCAATCCAGTATTGGTAGCTCACGATATGTCCAGATTAATGAAGATAGTACAGGCTGGAAATAAGTACGCGATTTATAACTAAATGAAGAACCATGTTGATACATGTTGCATTTCCACTTTCAAGAATCCATTAATGGTGTCTACAATCATACAAGGAGGATAAAGGAGCAATTAGAAAACATATACATCTTAGTGGAGCGCTTGGAAGACATATCAAGTACATAGTGGAGCATATACATCTTAGTGGAGCACTTGAAAGACATATCAAGTACATAGTGTAGCATATACATCATAGTGGTGAACTTAGAAGACCTACACAGCTCACAAACATGGCAGCAAGGTTTATTGTAGTATGACACATGATTGCAAGCTTATTGGAGCATTAAGAAGATTTGAAAAGCTCACCAAAAAGTTATCAAGGATATGGCAGATCGTGGGTCACTAAGGAATATTCAATTCGATTGGAATTGCACAAAGCCAACTAATCACCACCTGCCCTTGTTTGCTAATTATTTATCCACTCAAATAAACTTGGATGAAGACCCCATACACACCCATACTGCTACACGTGGACAACATTTCGTTTTGCACAAAGAATCACTACAACAACACCCCATGTGCGTGCCAACAAAGGCATATACAAGATGCTTATCTCCACATAGCCACAACTTGAAGGATTCAGCCACAGAGACATTTTCCTACACTTGGTCGAACCTACACCTAAAATATTCATGATAATTATGTTTAAATTATGTCTTTAAAGACGGTGCCAAGGTTAGCCACATCACCATGCACCATTCAGCTAAGTCCTATAACTAGGCTTTCATATTTCATTTGTACGATAAAATTTTTTGATCAATTAAATTGAGAGTTTTCTCTTGCTTATGTCCTTGTGACTTTTATCAACTTATAAAGTAACTTGTTACCTGAGGCGTTAGCACTTTCACTTTGATACTTGTGGTTCTTATCTCCATATAGATAGTGGGTCAAAGTCCTTATTACCACCCCTTAGAACTGATTTGTACGGTTGGGTCTTTGTTCTTTAACATTGGTTCTTCCTTGGTTATTTCTAAGATACTATCCCCATCCACATTCCATCGTTTCATCTTCCATACCATAACCACAATAATCATCTTCCGCTACCATCTCTAATATCGTAAATTAGCCTATCATTTTTGTTCATTCATCTACTACCAAACCATCTATTTGATCCATTTGCTTATGCAGGTTGTTTTGCTTCATTCCTAGATCCATAATCAACCGATAAGGTCACCCCTATCGCATTAAAGCATGGACAACAACCTTGGCCGTGAGTTGAGCTACCTTAAAGCTTGCATGTGCTTAGCTAGCTAACAATGTAAAGGTTGGTGGTGAATGAACTACTTAGCCATGACCTCCCAAGCTTCATAACAGTAATTTCAGCTACATTCAACTATAATTGATGTCACCTTTAGCAACTTATCTTCAAATAGTGCAACTAGCTAAGATTAGGTAGCCTTGAGATCATCTAGCTGAGTTGAGCTTTCCTTAGTGTTCCACGAGCTGCCATGATGTTTGTGAGCTGATTATGAGCTGCATATGGCTTCCAAATACTCCACCAAGCTGTCCTAATGTGTGACATACATCAATGTACCTACATATGTGAAGAAAAAATGTAATTCAATTGTATTTAACTTGTATGAGCTAATTACCTTGTTGTCTTGCATGATCATGGTCTTGTGAGCTATTAATGCATGACACGAGCTAAGTATATCATCATATGATACATGTAAGCTAATGTATAAGGTCTAAGACCTAAAATGAATGCACATGAACTAGTAACCTTAACATGAGATGTATTATAATAGCATATATGATCAAACTATTATAAATTAAATACAACATAGAAAGGTATATAAATTAAATATAACATAGAAAGGTTCAAGAATACTCCCTTTGTAGGTGAAAATGTGCTTGCATCACTTACAAGTTGGACTTACCTGGTGAATTCAATGTAAGTGCTATATTTAACGCTTCTGATTTATCCCCTTACGATATTTATGCAGATTTGAGGTCAAATCTTTTTCAAGAAGGGGGGATGATGTGAGCACATCAACACTGGCAAAGGAAGTTGATCCAGAGGTCCTACCAATAAGACCTATCACACGTTCTAAGGTAAATCATTTCAGGCAAGCTCTTTCTCTTAAGTGTTTACAAGTTTCTGAATCATGCCATAATGTTTATGCCTTAGAAACTTAGCTTTTCAATGTGTTACATACTGATGTGTAACATCACCTTAGTTATACTAAGTAATTATATGCATTTGCATTAGTTCCATTAGATATATAAGTGTGTGCATTATATATATTAATTACTTTATGTTTTTAATGAGTTTTATAGCTCATAAGTGTGTTTGCATGGTATTTTTAGCTTATTAGTAAGTTTACAATAAGTTTGCCTTACTTTGATGGATGTTATTATGTTTTTCATACATGATCAATAATGGGTAACAACTAGCTGAATTCAGCTCACTTTAGCTCTGTTCAACTCCATTTTAGCTCCACTAGCTCAATTCAAGCTAACAAGTGCAGACGTAGCTCGAAGGTGTCCTACGTGTGGGAGAGTGTCCTACAAGTATGTGAAAAGCATGTGGGACATTATATACCTATCCAAGAGTGCATGGCAAGTGTGACATTGTGAACATGTGTGGAAATTCAACATTAGGTAGATTTAAATTCAAACTAAAAGCACATGTGAAATTTTTTGAATTTTCAACCCTTCCCTCTATGCATGGACATTTTAATCTCCATTTCCACTTATTTAACACATGCAAGATGTGTTAAATACATTCAAAATCAGCCACACAAATGGGCAACAACACAAGGGAGTTACATGGAGTTTTTTCAATTGAGTTTCAAATTCAAAACCTGATTAATTTGTAGCCACAAGTGATGGCCAACCATATCTCTCTTTTACCAATATATTTTTTTAATTTTGTAAGTGCAAAAGTTAGACATTTTGATGAATTAAAATTATTGTGAGGTTTTCTCTCAATGTTGGTTCTTCTTAGAACATTTTCTTGACATTTCAAGGTCGATCTTGTTGTGTCAAACTTGTGATACTTTGGGTTCTTAGATTGCTATCTAACAGGTCCAATTCCTTTGAACATTGAACGTATAAGGTTCGGGTTTATACTTTTTAGTATATGTTCCTCCTTGTTCTTTGTTTGTTAATCAAAATTTCTAGATTTGTTATTTCACCATTGTCATCTTCTCCGAGCATTTATCTTCAACCTTTCACCAATTTAAAATTTATAGCAGCCTTATTCATCCGTTCTTCATCATTTCTTAGCTATTTTTGTTCGTAGCCTTAACCATATAACAAACAACATCATTCTTAGTTTTAGTAAGTTTGCTATAAATAAATTACTTACTTCTACCACACTGTATATATTTTCCTTTACCCATTCCTGATTGTCCTTGGCTGGATATCTCAATGGATTTTATGTTGAGATTGCCTAGAACTAGGACATGTAGAGATAATATCTTTGTTGTGGTTGACAGGTTTTCAAAGATGGCACATTTCATTGCGTGTCATAAGACTGGTGATGCTACTAATGTTGCCAACTTATTTTTCAAGGAAATTGTTCGTTTACATGGAATTCCTAGGTATATTGTTTCTGACAATGATGTTTAGTTTTTGAGTCATTTTTTGTGGACTCTTTGGTGCAAATTGGGGACTAAATTTATGATTTTCACTACTTTTCATCCTCAAATTGATGGACAACCTGAGGTTGTAAATCGTGTTTTATCTATGTTATTATGTTTCATCATTAAAAAGAACATTAAGACATGGGAAGATTGTTTGTCGTATGTTGAGCTTGCCTATAACCATTATGTTCATTCCACTACTAAATTTTCACCATTTGAGATTGTTTATGGCTTTAATCCTTTAACTCCTATGGATTTGTTGCTATTGCCTCAAGAATAGGTTATGAACATGGACGAAAAGTCTAAAGCATACTATGTGAAAAAGTTGCATCAATAGGTTAAGGAAAATCTTGAGCGAAGGACTCAGTAGTACGAGGAGCAAGCAAATAAAAGTCCTAAGTGAGTTACCTTCAATGTTGGAGATTGGGTTTCAGTTCATTTCTAAAAGGAACGTTTTCCAGCCTAACAACGTTATAAGTTGTTACCATGAGGAGATGGTCCATTTCAAGTGTTGGAGAAAGTGAACGATAAAGCTTACAAGTTGGACTTACCGATATAATTCAATGTAAGTGCTATATTTACGTTTTTGATTTATCCCCTTATGATGTTTCTACATATTTGAGGTCAAATCTTTTTCAAGAAGGGGGATTATGTGAGGACATATACACCAACAATGAAAGTTGATCCGGAGGTCTTACCAACAAGACTTATCACACGTTATAAGGTAAAGCATTTCAGGGAAGTTCTTTCTCTTAATTGTTTACAAGTTTCTGAATCATTCCATAATGTTTATGTCTTAAAAATAAGCTTTTCAATGTATTACATACTGATGTGTAAGGTCACCTTAATTATACTAAGTAATTATATGCATTTTCATTAGTTTCATTAGGTGTATAAGTGTGTGCATTAAATATATTACTTACTTTATGTTTTTAATAAGTTTTATAGCTCATAAGTGTATTTGCATGGTATTTTCAGCTTATTAGTAAGTATATAATAAGTTTACCTTATTTTGATGGATGTTATTATATTTTTCATATAGGAACAATAAAGCACAACAACTTAAGGTCATATTTTTAGCTCGGTTGAAGCTCTAAGGAGTATATGCAACTCATCTCAGCTCAACTCGACTCACTACACTTTCATTTAGCTGAATTCAGCTTACCTTAGCTCCGTTCAGCTCCACTAGCTCAATTCCAGCTAACAAGTCCAGAAGTAGCTCAAAGGTGTCCTACGTGTGGGAGAGTGTGATGTAAGGTACTCGTACCTTGATTGATTATGGATCTAGGAAGGAAGCAAAACAACCTGCAATAAGTGAATGGCTTGAAAAAAATGGCTTGGTAGTTGATGTAAGGGTGAAATAGTAGGCTTTGATAATGATTCAGAGTTCTGGAAGATAGTGAAGGTATTTGGCTATGGTGTAGGTTTATGAAGGAAAGGATGGTGAAGATAGTATCTTAGAAAGACCAAGGAAGAACTAGTGCTTTAATGAGCAAAGACCTAGCCTTACAAATCTCTTTAAGGGGTGGTATTAAAGGACTTGGACTCTCTATCTATAACAGAGATAGGAACCAAAAGTATCAAGAAAAGGGGTTGATGCCAGAAATATAAATATACTTGATAAGTCGATAAAAGTCACCAAGGACTTGAGAAAAAAGAGAGAAATTTCACTTGATTAAAATATATGAAAGGTATGCTTACAAATGAATAGGACTAGCCTATTTATAGAAATAAATGGGCATGGCCGAATGGATACATGATGATTCGGCCAGCCATTGTGTCTCTTTAAAATGACCCAATTAATTACATGCACAAATAAAAGGTTGGGATGATTTGGCTGGATGGTGGAGACATAATCCTTGGCTGATTGATGGTTGAACCTCTTCAAGTTAGCGCCAAAGTGAAGTAACATGTGCTTTTATCGAATGGTGAGATTGGCTTTCATCTTAGCGCCTAAAAGAGATCACATGCAAGGCATATGGTTGTTCGTCATATTCCATGCACATGGGGGTTCTAGGGAGCCATGTGGTGTAACCTTATACATGGAATGAAGGCTGGTCATGTGCCTTATCTTGGGCATGCATGGGTTCTCCTCCTAGATTTCTTGAGTTTGTAGCTAGCTAGCAATGCAAGGGCTTGATGTGAATAAGCTTCCTAGCCGAGACCTCCTTGGCTCCTTAGCACCTCTCCGAGCTACCTTCAGCTGCCCAGTTGATCACTTATTCACTTATAGAGACTTGACTTCAAATGGTTCATCCAGCTAGGTTCAGCTACATGGTAGCTCCTCCAGCTGAGTTGAGCTTTCCATAAGTCTCCATGAGCTGACATAACCTTTGTGAGCTAAATGTGAGCTGTATATTTATTCCAAATACTCCCACAAGCTGACTTAATGTGTGGCGTGCATCCATGTACCTATATGTTCAAAGAAAACATGGTAAATCAAAGGAAATACGTTAAAATGAATGAAATACCTTGTTGTTGTTCATTTTTATGACCTTATGAGCTATGAATGCATGTCATGAGCTAAAAACTATATGATATAACATATGTGAGCTTATTTATATGACTTAGGAGCTGATTTAAATGAAAATGAGCAAATAAATTAATGAATGAATAAATGAACATACTGTCATTTCATGAATGAATAGAAACTTATCTAAATGAATACAAGATTAATATAAATCAATAAAATTCTTGAAATAACATCATACATCAAGTAATATAAAGATGTGGATAATTATGCATGTTTCTTTACTTAATAAATTTCATAACTAACAACCTTAGCATGATATATGTTATTAGTTCATATATGATCATAATGACGTAAAGTAAAGTATGATAAGGTTGAAGAGTACTCCCTTCAAGGCTAAGTAAACAATGTTTTCATATTGTAAGAATGTGCTTGTATCACCCCATTCTTTAGAGTGATTTATCCTCAAATCGAAGCCTTTGGTATGCTCGAATTATCTATCATTGTGTCCTTCCAATTACTTAGCTATGTGTTCTCTCAGTAAAGGATTGAATCCTTTAGATGAATGTGTACTTCCAATAGGAACCTTATCATAAGATTTCCTAATAGGACTTTCTTTAGAGTATAATCTACCTACAGATACCTTTTCAGAATGATCTTCTTCTATGGATATCCTTGTTGAAAGTGACCTTTCATTTGGCTTCTCCTGAAAAGTGCAAAGGCATGATGAAGGGGTACATAGCTTTTAAAGACATGAATTGTGACTCTGGATGAGAAATTGTATCTTTAGAACCCAACTGACACCATTATTCACTGAAATCCTTTCAAATTCTAGCAACGAATCATCACATTTCTTCATAAAAAAATTCGATTTCATGTCTTGCTCATCTTTAATTTTCAATGGTGGCTTGTCCTTTCGCAAGGTCTGTACACTCCTTCTCATATGAATCTGATCTTGTTGGACTTCTTTAGGCGTCAGTGGCACCAAAGTGACCTTGCGTCCTTCATGCTTAAATGAGTATTGGTTGTGATAACAATCTTGAATGGCCCTTTTTCCATACTGCCATGGCCTCCCAAGTATAATGTGACTAGCATGCATAGGGACTACATCACAAAGTACCTTATCCTTGTACCTACCAATTGAAAAGGGAATTAAGACTTGTTTTGTAATATTCAACTCGCCTCCTTCATTGAGCCAATTGAGTTTGTATGGAGTTGGATGCTTTAAAGTTGTCAAATTTAGTTTATCCACCATAATAGTGTTGGTTACATTTGTGCAACTTCCTCTGTCAATAATCATGGTACAAACCTTTTTCTTAACATGACACCTTGTGCGAAAAATATTGTTCCTTTGTAGTTCCTCCTTAATTGGTTGGTATTATAGGCATCTTTTCGAAAAAAGTATCTCCACACCAACAACAACCTCCCATTCATCTGGTTCCTCTTTATAGACTGTTTCTTATTACTCATCATGAATAGGTTCTTCAGAATTTAAAATAACCTCTCCATGTCTAATAATATCATAGTGTTTTAATTGGGACATTGGCTAGCAACATGTAATTTTCCAAAGTACTTGATGTCTCTGGACCTCTCGAAACTGTTTGCTTGTTCTTTTTTTACCTTTGATGGACTCCCCTACTTGTTTCATTATGGATCCTTCAAACGTATCCTTCACCTGGACTGGGGTTAGCTTTCAAAAATTATTAGGCTCTTGTTTCCATTTTGTGGTCGAATGGTTGTTAATCCTGATGAATACCTTCCTTTTTAGTTGTCGCTCAATCTTCATAGCCATGTGTACCAACACCTCAATCTCTACATAATGCTGTAATTCAACAAGGTTAGCAATTTCAAGATTTAAGCCAGATAAAAACATTGCCATAGTTATTTCTCTGTCTTTATCAACATTGGCTCGAATCATGGCTATCTCTATTTCCTTCAAATAATCTTCAATGCACTTGCTTCCTGTTTGAGATTTTGAAGCTTGTGATAGAGATCACGATGATAGTGAGTAGGTACGAACCTCTCTCTCATAATGGCCTTCATTTCTTCCAATGTGTTGATTAGGCGTTCATCATTTCTTTTTCGTGAACTTACTAATTGATCCCACCAAACGAGAGCGTAGTCCACAAATTACATAGCAACAAGTCATACTTTCTTTTGCTCTGTATAATTTTGGCATTCAAAGATATGCTCAATTTTGATTACCCAGTCAATATAGGCTTCTGGATTAGTTCGTCCTTGAAATAGAGGAATTCTTACCTTGATGTTGTTGAAGTTATCTTTTTGATACCTTCCCCCTTGATTCCTATGAAATTCTCTCCTGGATCCTTGGAAGACTTGATCTTCCTCAACCAATTCTCCCCTTTCAAGTTATTCTTTAATTCTAGGGCGTGTTGTCCTTCTGTTTTCCAAAGAAGCTTCAACTTGATCAATTCTATCATGTAAGGGCTACAATTCCAATTTTAGCAATCTTGCCATCTCATGCATAATTGCTTGAGTTTGCAAATTTGGGTATTCTCTAAGGAAAAACATGAACGACACTCAATTTACTCGTGTTTGCACTATAGTCTCACACACTCAATCCTTTTTCCTCTTAGTCTCTTTGTCTCAAGTTCTAAGTAGACTTTACTCAAATTATTTTCAAGTAATTCTTACTTGTTGTACGTCGGCTGCAAATGGTTAGTATGTATGGAAAATAAAATAAAATGTAATAGGGTGGCTTAGAAATAAGAAAGAAAATAAGAAAGGGTTCTTAACAGCAAAGTCACTTTACAACCTTTATATCACCACAATCAATTTAAAATGCTTAATTGACTTGCTTGGTGATGAAAACTTGTTCTTATGCTTTCAACTACTTTTTCTTTTTCTTTTGTTTTTCTCTTGAGTTCTTGCAATTTTCTTTGCTGATTTTTTAACTTTATTCACTACTACTTCCTTTTGAATTTTTATTTTTTGTTTTGCATGTTGTTTCTTCCAACAAAGCTCTGATAGTACTTGATGGAAGGTAATTGTACCTTAATTGATAGTAGATATAGGGAGGAAGCAAAATAACCTACAATAACTTAATGACTCAAAAAATAATGGCTTGGTAGTTGATGTAAGGGTGAAATGGTAGGCTTTGATAATGATTAAGAGTTGCGGGAGATTGTGAAGGTATTTGATGTAAGGATCTTTTGATGCCTTAACAAATTGATTGTGGATCTAGGAAGGAAGCAAAACAACCTGCAAAGTGAATGGCTCAAAACATAATGGTTAAGGGTGGTAAACGTATGAGTGAATAGGTGGGCTGTTTAAATGAGAGATGGAATCGGAAGATGGTTGATATGGCTATGGTTATGGTTTATGAAACAAAGGAATGGTTGTGAGGATAATATCTTAAAAAAGACTCAAAGAAGAACCAATGCTATACAGAGCAAAAACCCAGACTTTATATTGCTTCTTTAAGGGGTGGTATGAAGTACTTTGACCCACTAGTTATAAAGAACTAGGAACTATAAGTATCAAGATGAAAGGAAAGGGGTTGACGCCACAAGTATTAAATATACTTGATAAGTCGATAAAAGTCACCAGGACTTAAGGAAGAGAATAATCTCACTTTGATTAATAAAAATGGTCTCCTTACAAATGATGAATGTTTTTCTATTTATATGAAATGGAGAGACATGGCCGAATAATTACAAGGAGATTTGGCCAGCCTTGTGCCTTCCTAAAATAACATAATGTAATTCATAAATAACTTGAATAAATAGGTACTGGTTCGGTTGAAGTGTAGGGG